ACTTAAGTATATTAGGGTAGGTGATGGTTGCAACATTTTAACCTAACTGTTTTGCATTTCTATTGCTATATATACAAACTAGCTTGCTTTTTGCTTATCCCTTTTTTTTATATTATCTATTTTTCCTAAACTGAAACACTGCAGTTATGCCCAGATGTAACTTCCAGCATTCCTAGCAAGCAGTGATTGTAGAGCTTCAGGTTAATTCTGGAAGAGTCAAGCTCATTATATTATACTTGGCAGGACAAGTCAGATGTTTAAAAGTGGAACATCAAAAGATGGGTTGGCTCATTCAGTAAACAGCAACAGCTGGCTAACCTTGTCTGGGCTTGGAAGCTAAGCAAGGTCAAGTATGGTTGGTGCTTGGAAAGAAGACAAACAGGGAATCTTAGGATTGTACACTCAACTGGTAAAGCCAAAAAAGGTGGAAGGTAAACCACCTCCATATTGCTGCCCCTCTGCTTCCACTCTGATGTATGGAAACAAGACATAAAAGTATATTTGCTTAACTCTCTCATCATAAATCTACAAAATAAATGTTAAAATTGATCATCGTTTGACAAGGCAATTGCCCATCTTTAAAATTTAAGGATTAAAAATTGTCCATCTTTAAAAAATGCTTTCTTCTGATAAAAAATTGTGGATATATTAATATGAATTGGGGGGGTTCCTATGGCTCCCTTTTTTGGTGTAGTTGAAAGGTTGCTATTTAATCCAAGATAGCAGTATGAGGTATAAGAATCAAGAAATAAGGCACTTTTCTGAGAAAGATGCATGGGATCAGATCAGACTGCAGACCATGCTATTTTTGTTTCACAATACTAAAAAACCTAATGAAAACAATAGCAAAAGAAGATTGTGAGATTACCATCATTGTCCTGCATAATTTATCAAGTATGTGCTCTGGAAACTAGTATAAAATTCATGCTGATTATGTGAGGGTAAATTCCACAGAATACAAATTAGGAATTCAGAAAAACAGCATACATACATGGGCAAAACATTCTGGAAATGTCCAGGTACTGAATTTCTAAGCCCTGAGTTCAAAAGGTACAATTCTGAAGATAACACTCCTAGGCTGGACAAACAAATCAGGAAGCACTTTAAGCCTACACAAATACTAGAAACCTCTTAGTAGTATTTAGCAATGCCCATAATCTAAAACCACCTCAAATTATCAACAAGTAAGAATGTGCATGGCTAGGTTATAATTGTCCACATTGATTGCTTTTATTGTAAAACTTCCCATGCATCTTCCTAACATTCTTAAGCTGTGGAACAGCATGATCAAAATCTCTTATAAATCAATATACATATCACATATAGAAAAACTATGAATCATAGATATTTGTTGAGAAGAAATTGTGCACATAAATGATGTGTCCTCCATCTCAAGAATATAGGTTGACAACTGATCATTAATCAAAATTTATATGAAAATAACATATCTTAATATATAATTAAATCAATGTTTCTTCTGATAATATTGAAATTTACAAAAAGTAAAAAAACATTGAAGTTGCTTAAAACTCTTGAATACATGTCACAATGAAAAAAAATCTTATACAGGTAGTCCTCAACTTACAACAATTGAGCCCAAAATTTCTGTTGTGAAGTGAGACAATTAAGTGAATTTTGTCCCATTTTATGACCATTCTTGTCACAATTGTTAAGCAAAGTATTGCAGTTGTTAAGTGAACCTGGCTCTGCTTGTCAGAAGGTCACAAAAAATGATCCTCTGGCCACAGAACACTGCAATGAATCATAAATATGAACCAGTTCCCAAGCATCTGAATTTTGATCATGTGACCGTGGGGATGCTGCAAGATTGTAAGTGTGAAAACTAGTCATGTCACTTTTTTCAGTGCTGTTGTAACTTTGAATGGTCACTAAATGAATGGTTATAAGTTGAGGATTACCCATATTACATTTATTTCCCTGATAAGGTATATATTCAAATTGTTCAATAAAAAATGTTTATTTTTTAGAACTTGTAACCATGAAATAAGAGTTGTATAATGAAATAACATTATACACAGTTGAAGTTCTTGAAGCAAATAACAATATTGTAAAAACATATGTAGTTTTTCACTATACTGATCCTTAACAAAAAAAATGCAAGTCTTTGCATCTTCAACATATAAATCATGATGGATCACATAAAGATGTTAATTGATCAAGTGATAATGTGAAGCTTTAGCCTGACAATCTTCCAACAGTAATTCAGTCCTTCACTCCACTACTTTCCAAGTATTTGTACGCTTGTTCCATCTATATATTTTCCAGGAAGGAAAATTCTCCTGAATTCTCCTAGCACCCTCTTTTCAAATCATCATTCTCTTATATTACCCCAATATATTTCAATATAGAAAACCAGCATAAAACTTCTATTCATTACTTTGTCTCAAGCTAGTTTCATTAATAACCGCTATTTCACAGAGCTCTTATTTTTAAAATATTATATTCAATATAAGCAAATATAGATCTGTAGGTATGTTTTTATTAAAAGAGAATCAAATAAAAACAGAAGAGGTGCATCACAAATCTTCCTTCCTCATCTCCCTCTGAAATGCATAATCCCTCTAGACCACTTTAAATGTTCCCACTTGGTATGGAAGTTGAGGAACTAGAATCCAAACTGACTTATTTGTGAAACAAACCAGATGCCATTTCAGCCTCCAAAGGGGAAAGGCTAGTACAATTGCCTTTTATCATTGTAAATTCAAGATCTTTCCCCCTGCTTCATATGGTTGGGCAGGGAAATTTCTTTTAAGGGTCCACATCAATAGGTGAAGGAGGAGCTCTTTTTGCTAAGGAGTACTATCACTGGAAGATAATTTACTCTTTCAGAAATTTAGCACTGCATAAGGGATTCTCTCCTCCCTCTACATTCACATCCTGTTAAAGGGGTTGTAGGAATTCTCACATCCTGCTGTACTCAGTATCTTGGGAAAGAAGATTTAGACTACCTTTGAAAATTACAAACATGTCACAGCAATATTTAACTCACCAAAGATGAACTCAAGCCAAAACTAATATTTAAGGCCACAATAAAATTAAACCTGAACATACATCCTTGTATCTACATTCAAAATACACAGCAAGACATTATACTCACAATCATTAACTATACCTTACTACTGAGTCTGACTACGTCAATCACACTTACATAGGTTACAAGACAAAATAGATTTGACTGATTTTAAAATTAGACAGAAAAATAGTGTGCTAATAGAATTCTAACACTATATTTTATTCCCTGCGCTAAATTTTTAAAAGTAGCTTACTATTAGTGTACACATGTGCTGCTCAAACACATTTCAGCAGGGACATATAAATACGTGTGCCCCTATAACTAAACATCAGAATGTATTGTAGCTTTTATAAATAGCCTATGCCTGATAACACACAACTAGGGAAAGTTACAAAAAAAACCACACCTCTGAATATCTTCATTATGTGCAGAAACAAGGTAACTCAGCTTCAACTTTCGATGTTGCTTTCCTTATCATTCAGCTAAGAATATTTTTTCTATAGATCACAGATCTGAGTCTCTAGTAAAGCTACCATTTTAAACAACCTTTAGGGAAGTAATTATCTTTATTCCAAATGCTATACACAGGGTACATACAGTATAATGCTAGTCTAATGAATAGCTTTGTTAAAATAGCAATTATATAAGTATGTTTACATTTCACTAAGTTTGTTTTAAGGTATGAAGAGAGCCTAACAGGATCTTATCATACACATTTTAAAAGTTGAAAAGAAAATGCGACACTAAAGTTATTGCATCTGTTATAAACAGATGGTAAACTCAGGTTTAATCACATTGGCCTAAGCTACTTAAGATCTTGGAAAATGACACAAGGCCTCTGGGAGGTCTGCATACACATATCCTGGTCATATTCTTCCATTTGACCTAATTACTTTTGGTATTGTTAAAATTGTGCAACAAATAAAATAAAACCACTGCCTCAAGCTCATATACTTTCTAGAGTCAAATTAAGTGCACAGTATTATATTTTTAAGGCTGTATTCTGGACAAACAACTGAGCAATGCTGGAAAAACACCCTTTCTGAACCCTGGAATAGTAATGTTGGATAAACAGACAAAATTTCAGAGGGTTTTTTTTTTTAGAAAAAAAGTAATTGGTAAGAGTAACTTATCCAATGTAAAATTTGCAGTAATTCACTATTACAATAATTTTGTTTATCCATCTTATTAGCTAAGCAGATTTCCCAACTTCAGCTGAATGAATTTATTTCAATGTGCTGCTTTCCTATGAAAATGAAGTCTAAACTCCAGAGAACCTTAAAAGAAGAGAAAAGGAGGAGAAACACACCGCCTGCTCAATGGCCACAAAGCCTACAGCTTGATTGTCACAAAACCTGGAGGGAGCTTATAAACACCACCCTAGCACGGATGGAGAAACAAAACTCCCCTCCCTCTTGCCCATCTTTTCCCTGCAGGAATAATGGAAGCAAAGCAAACTCTTTTCAAACCCTTGGACTGATCTCAGGCCCCCAGAGAGATAAGATGGAAACTTCTGTCTTTGAAATGGAAGCCTCCTTTTAAATACCTGGTAGCAAAACTTTAAAAAAGAGCAAGGACAGCAAAATGGAAGACTTTAGAATCAGAGCCACTCTCCTCCTCTCTACAGCTTGCTCAGTGAACTGATAAAGAAGAGATAATCAAGATACACACACACACAGAGGCATTACTTTGCTTTTCAAAAGGCGGCTGAAGTCTCCACATCGCTCCCACACATCCTGGCTCCGAACAAATAAGGATCCCTTGGGGTTATAAAGAAAGGATCCTCCTCGCCAACTGTGACACTTCATTGGCGGGGGAGTGGAGGGGGGGGGAGAACCGATAGGATCAAAAACCTCTCCCAACCAAGAAATAAGCTTTAAAGAAAGAAAGAAAAAAAAAAAAGCGATACTGTAACACAAAACAGAAGAACTACTATTGTTTGGCCCTACTCCGTATCTCCGAGATGAGGCTTCCCTTTCTCCATCCGGCTGCCATAAAACGACTTGCCCACTTTATAGCGTTTCGCAGGTCAGTGTTTCCGCACGTTTTCTCGGGAGCAAGGCACCCTCCCCTCCCCCCCCTCCTCCTTCGGTGGGGCTTTCGGCTACCCTCTTGTCATTGTTCACACCGAAGCCACAATCTCCGAACAGCCTCGGCGGCACCACTTTTTTAAAAAAAGACGTCCCCTCCCCCCCCAAAAAAAATCCTCCCGAAGAAAAAGAAGACCACAACTTTTAGGAGGAGAAGCCCTACCTATCTACCTACCTACCCGTCTGTCCCCACGCCGCACGGTGGGGGAGGGGGTGGAAATGTCCGCGATCCTGACCCTCCCCTCCCCCACCGTGCGGCGTGGGGACAGACGGGCAGGCGCTTCAAGAGCCCCCCCACACCCCCCCCCCCCCTCCCCGCCTTGCGCCGAGAAGGGCTGAAAGTATTGTCCTGCCCTCTCGCTTCTCCTTCGGGACCAGAGGCCGGCGGGGTCGCTCTGCGGACCGGCCGCTCCTTACCCGAACACGCGCCCGGTTCTGGCCGCGCTCCCTTCCCCCTTGAGGAGGTCGCCGAACTCACCTCAATCTCGAAGTCCGGCAGGCGGAAAGCGGTCCTGAAGAGCGAGCAGAAGTGAGCGATGGCCGGCACTTCCCACCAGGAGCGGAGCTCGCTCAGGGCGCTCGTCTCCGCGGCCGACCCGGCGGCGCTGGCCGTCGTCGAGCCCTCCGCTCCTCCGATCGCGGCTGAAGTAATAGTCGCTGCTGCCGCCGCCGCAGCTGTGGAGACCCCTCCCGCTCCGTCGCCGCAGCCTCCGTCCTCCTCCGGACACATCTCGCTCCGGGCCGACGGCGCGAGATGCTCTCCTCCTCCCTTCCTGCGACCGAACTGTCCTCTTTTCCCCCCTCAGCGGCCACGGCTGCCCGCTCCGCGCCCGCTTCTCGGCATGGGGTTCCTCCGGGTTGGCGCCTCCTCACCCTCCGCTCCTCCTCCCCGCTCGCTTGGGGGGTCTCTAGGGCAGGCGAAGGCGGCGCTGCTCTCGGCGGGGGCTGCCGCCGCAAAGACCCATCTCTTCTATTCCTTCCCCCCCCACACACACCCGCACGTCCCTTTGGCCTCAGCTCGCCGCCGCTGCAACTGTTGCCTGGTCCAGGCAACGGTTTAAAAAACAAGCGCGCGCTCCGATAAGCATTCGACGCCGGAGAAACAGATGGGGCTCCGCGGGGGGGGGGGGAGGGGAGGGGCGCGAACGGAGGAGAAAAGGGGCGGGGTTGGGATCCGAGGGGCGGGGCGTCGTGGGGAACAGGGATCTTCGACTCTTGAGGAGGACCAGCTCGGCCTTAGATCAAGCCCCTTAATCCTGGGGAAAAGGGGGGGGGCGAGGGGGTGGATGGGCGAGAAGGGGACCGGACGTCTTTCGAGTAGAGCAAGGGGCGGAGCCTGGCAGCTAACTTTTTTTTTTTTTTTTTTTAAGCGGCCGCACGAGCCCTGGAGGAAAAAGGCGGGGCCGGGGATGTAAATGAGGTTTCCCCGAGAGCCGTTTAAAGAGAGAGATTGCTGAGCGCGAGACAAAACAAGGAGCCGGCTCGGCGAAGCTCTTCGCCCACGAGGCGGAGGCGGAGCCGCTCTTTATCATAACAACAGCCTGGCTCCGCCTTTTTTTTCGGGGCTGCCAATGGCGGAGCTCGCGGTGGGCGGGGCCGGCGCGATGCGGGATTTCTATGGCTGCGGAGCAGGAAAGGCGGAGCTCTTGTCGGCAAAAGGGAACGAAGGGACTGGCTGAGCTTCGGCTCCCGGACAGCACGTGGCGGCCCCGGCTTTGCAATATGGGTGGAAAAAAAGGGTCTCCGGATGCCAGTTCGCGCAGAAATTCATTGGGATTCACTTTTCAAGTAAACGTGCCTGTTTAGATACGGAGCAACCGTGTGAACGGCGTTGCTGAAGCCCGCTGGTTCTTGCCTGGATGTAAAAAAAAAAAAAAAAGCAACTTGATTCCAGGATTCTCGACTGCTTAGAAATGGAACTGCAAAAATTGCACGAGGTCCGAAGTCGTCCTCGCTGCTTCCGCCGGGCTTTTATTTTTATTTTTTATTTTTTTTTAAATTAACCTGACATTTGCAACGTCTTTATTTTCCTCCTTTGAATTGTCTTCGCATTTTACCTTGTTTTTGAACTACATTCTGCGCTCATCCTCTCGCTCCGTTTGCAATAATTAGCCAACTGTGTTTTATACAACTACGGTCGGGAAAGTGGATAAAAGGTAGATTATTTTTTTTTTTTGATCTTTTCTTTTTCCACTTTAGGGATCCCCTTCCCCCCCCCCCCCGCACCTCCTTGCGGATTATAATCCAAGATGGGATCGCCCAACGCGAAGCTTGGATAGTGTTTCGTTTTGTACCGATTGAAGTGAACTCTGGGGGCGTAAGAAGTCTAAATAGGAAATAAAAGTATTAAACCGTCAAGTAGCGAGAGCCGAAATTCATTCGTTGATTGAAGTGGATTTCAGCGCTTTATACTGCTGTGTTGTGGTCTGGTGCTCAACTCTGCAAATGTGAGGATTAAAAGTTCCATCACTATGTTAAAATATAACATTTTTACCTATATTCAGAGATCTGAATTTTCTGTAAAGCTTGTTTGTTCCTACTGGAGTAAACACTTTACTCCAGGAACTATTTTCTCGAAAGCAATTTACTTGTTTATAGTACCTTCAATGCAGCAAAGTTTGATTCTTTAAAAAAAAATAATTTTGAATTTTTTTTCCTTTTATTGTAGTGTACATCTGAATTTTAAATATGTTTAAGGGGTGTTTTTTTTAATTGATTGAAAATAATGCTCCAGGGTTTCAATTTGTGCCTTAGTTCTCCTCCAGATAATCAGTGTAAAATTGTGTTAAGTCTTTTGAAAAATCAACATTCCTCTAAATCCAGAAAGGTCAATATTTGACACTGCTGAGAAGACTTTGAACTAGAAAAATGAGTACATGTTTTCTGAAGTAAATCTATGAGGTTAATTCAGATTAAAAATTAAAAACACACACAAACAATCCAGAAGAAAGCAGTAAGAAAGTACTTGTCTTTATGTGAAGAAAACTAAATAGATATGTCCATTTAAGTTACCAGGAGCCAAGCTCAACTTGATGAAAACTACTATATTACTGTACAGATTCTTCCATTGACAAATTATACTTTTTTTTAAAAAAACACTCAATTTTGCAGTGTTGATAATAGTCTCCATTATCTTTGACAAATTGTGGGAAATGGGCAAAGTACAACATGACTATTGGACAACAAACATCCTACCCAGGGGGAAACAATGACCCTGGGACTACAGGCCAATCAATCCTATATTGATTCCTAGAAGATTCCAGAGCAGTAAAGTAATTAATCAGTATGCACTTGGAGAACAATGAAGTGATTAACAGACATCTGAAGTTGTCAAGCACAAGTTTTGCCAGACTTAATCTTCTCTCCTTTCCTTAGCCGACTATGGATAAATTGTAGACAAAATGCGAAGCACCTGAGAGAATGCCCCATGACATTCTGATTAGCAAGCCTGTCCGTTACACATGACCTGGATGATATGACCATTAAATAACATCTTAACCGGGCATAACAATTATAGGTGAAGGACGGTGCTCAAGAATTCTTCACCAAATTGGGGAGCTATCCCATGAGATGACACAAAGTTGAGATCTTCCATATTTATGTTAATAATGTAGATGCAGAGGTGGCAAGAGTAGTCACATGTTTGGTAGATGAGACAAAAGTGGATAGAATATCTAATAGCTAAAATGATCTTGATGAGTCAAAAATAGATGGCAAATAAAAACAAATAAATAAAAAATAAAAGACAAGTGCAGAGGTATTCAGTTAGGAAAGTGAAATAAAATGCATAACTATAACGTGGAGCAGACCTGACTAGGTAACAGTCGTTCTCAGAAGGATTTTAGAATAGTCAACCACAGGTAGTCTTCAATTTACGACCACAATTGAGTCCAAAATTTCTGTTAAGTGAGACATTTGTTAAGTGAGTTTTGCCCCATTTTACGATCTTTGTTGCTACAGTTGTTAAGTAAATCATTGCAGTTGATAAATTAGTAACACGGTTGTTAAGTGAATCTGGCTTCCCCATTGACTTTGCTTATCAGAAGGTCGCAAAAGCTGATCACATGACCTTGGGACACAAATATGAACCAGTTGAATTTTGATCACATGATCATGGTGATGCTGGAAAGGTCATAAGTGTGAAAAATCATAAGTAATTTTTTCAGTGTCGTTGTAACTTTGGTCACTAAATAAACTTGTTGTAAGTCAAGGACTACCTGTATTCATATTCTCTTTGTAGTATGGTTTGGCTGCAAAAATGGGCACAGTTGGTTTTTAAGCTGCATTCAAATGATATTACAAGTTTAAGAAATGGGCTGGAAGTAACAATGAAATTTAACAGAGGCAAATACATCAGATCAAATGCACATTGTGCAAAAATGAACACTGTGATATGATTGCAGCCTCCCCCCTCCCCTGTAGCCAAATCTTGTACCATTAAAAATCTAGTTTCCAAAATAAAAATATAATCCATTATATTCTGCCTTGGTTATCTCCCCATCTCTTTGTTTTTTGTATATAATTTTTATTTAAATTTTTTAATATTTCATTAAAAGATTAAAGGATTATGGAAACAGAAAAAGGAAAAGGAAAAGGAAAGAAAAAAAATAAGAACAAAAGAAAAATGAGAGACAACAAAGGTCAAGGGAAAAAAATCTAAAGCTTCTTTGCAGCAGTTACAATTATGGTAATTTCCATTTCCACTTTACCAATATCATGATTCCTTTCTTCCCTTGCCCCCCCCCCCCCCGATTGAATAAAAAGAATTAGTTTTATTCGTTTTATTCAATTTCAGTAAAAAGTTCATAAACAAGTTCCATTTTTTTACAAAAATAACTTCTTCTTTTTTTAATAAAATTCATTTTAGCCATTTCTGCAAGCTCCGCCATCTTTACAACCCGTTCCTCCATTAAGGGTACTTCTGTATGCAGGTAACTCTCGACATATAACCACAATTGAGCCTAAAATTTCATTTGTTCAGCAAAAGAGTTGTGAAGTGCATTTTACCCCAACCTTTCTTGCCACTGTTAGTAAATGAATCACTTCAGCTGAATTAGTAGCATGGTTGTTCAGTAAATGTGGCTTCCCCATTGACTTTGCTCGTCAGAAGGTTGCAAAAGGTAATCACATGACCACGGGACTCTGCAACCATCATAAATACATGCCAGTTGCTAAGTGGCTGAATTTTGATCACATGATCACAGAGATGCTATAACAGTCACAACTGTGAAAAATGATTATAAGATTTTCAGTGCTGTTGTAACTTCAAGGGTCACTAAACTATTGTAAGTCAAGAACTATCTGTAATACGGTAGCTGTGCTGTGGTTACCATATATAAAACCAATTGTCCATGAGTGTTTTCTAATTGACTTTCCATCTTTTTACTAGTACTTTACTAGTATTTTTTACTAAGTACTAGTAAAAAAAAACTGATTTCATCTGAATGTTGACTTTAAAATTTAATCATCATATTTGGGTCTCAAGCACTTTTCAAGTGCTTATCCCCCAACTCCAGTACTGAGTCCTGTTCTGGGCAACCATACTTTAAAGGAAGATTGAGACACATTACAACAATTTCAAAGAAGAGCTATAGCAGGGGTGAAATCCAGCAGGTTCTGGAGAACCAGTAGCAGAAATTTTGAGCAGTTCGGAGAACCGGTAGCGGAAATTTTGAGTAGTTCAGAGAACCAGCAAATACCACCTCTGGCTGTCCCCAGAGTTGGGTGGGAATGGAGATTTTACAATATCCTTCTCCCAGGAATGGAGAGGGAATGGGGATTTTGCAGTATCCTTCCCCTGGAGTGGGGTGGGAATGGAGATTCTGCATATCCTTCCCCTGCCATGCCCATCAAGCCACACGACGCCCACCAAGCCACGCCCACAGAACCAGTAGTAAAAAAATTTGGACTTTACCACTGAGTTATAGGGTATAAAAATCAGAGTATTAAGAAATAAATTTCACAAAGGGAGATGGAAGGAATTGGGCATATTGAAAAGAGGGAGGAGTGAAATATAATTGCATTTTCTAGTACTTGAAAGGATGTCTAAGATCTGTTCTCACATTTTAGAGCAGTGTTTCTCAACCTCAGTAAATTTAAGAAGTGTGGACTTCAACTCCCAGAATTCCCCAACCAACATGGAGAACGGCCAATTACAAATTGCCCACTTAAATGTAAGTCTGACTCTTTAATTCTAATTGGCAGGATTGTAGTCCTGCTTTACTTTGAAATATTTTTCTAATAAGATATTTGAAAACTTTATAATTTTATATCCTGGCAAAGATGAAGTTTGTTTGACTAAACTCCATGAAAAAGTTTTCAATATGTTTTTCATCTGTAAAGTTATTTTTAATGAAATAAGCCTTTCTCCAGGAAGTACTTTTTATTTCAGTACAATGTAGCTCTTTGGAGCACCATTGCAACTTCTTTATACATCTGTTTCTTCCAATTATTGCCTTATAGCAGTGATGGCTAACCTTTTCCGAACTGAGTGCCTAAAGAGTGCACGTAAGCAAACGTGTGTGCGTGCCCGAACCCCCCAAAATGCAATGTGGCGCAGCCCCCTGCATGCGCCCCAATCCCCCCATGCGCATGAGTGCATGCCCCCGCACATGCCCCCCCCGTGTATGCGTGGCAGAGACCCGAAAACCAGCTCAGAGAGGTGCACACGCATGTGCAGCAGAGCTGAACTGGGGCGATGGCTCACGTGTCATCAGAGAAGGCACTGTGTGCCACCTCTGGCACGCATGCCATAGGTTTGCCATCACAGCCTTATAGCATCAGTGATAATTAAAAAGTAAACAGGTGTTTACTCTGGTGTTAGCAAACTGGGTAACTGAGGTGAGATGCCAATACCATCGGTTTCAAATAATATTGGGGGCATATGCATAGTCTGAAACAAAATAAATCCTTAAATTTGCTTGAGTCATATCAATAGTGCTTTTTTCTCCTTCCAAATTTATTTTCTCTGCTTTTGAATCTAGTGAATGTTGGCATATATAACAGGTGAGATTATACCTAATAGAGATTTAGCTTGTCAGAAGAATGCATGTTATATTATCTATTCAGCCTTGCAAATGTCAGAATAATAATAGGGTAGATCCTTCTGAGAGATGGAATGAGATGGTGAATATGAAATGGTCATAATATTTAAAATAAATGATGACATGCTCTAGTAGGAAAGAAGCTACTACCGGCCCTTCTGAAAATGTAAAATGAAAGGGTAATCCAATGGTATTGAAAGGCAGCAAATTTCTTTTAAAAAAAGAAAATCACACAATATATAATTACCATATGGAATTCATTATCCTAAGATATTGCCAAGGCCAAGAGTTTAGTACGTTTGGGAGAAAAAAGCAGACATTTTTATGGCTATTGAGACCATCTGTGGCTACATTAGATGGGATGAGAATCCTTTTTGTTCAAGGGAAATAAAAGGGAAATAAAATTTCCCCTCTTTTAAAGCACAGAATAACAATTTACTGATGGTAAGAATTAGAAAGTAACTTCCATTTTCATGCAGATTATTCAGTAATTGTCCATCCGGGTATGTCAAGCACTTTTTAAAAATAATCGTGTGATCCTGGCAGCTGGCCGCAAAGGGATGCTAAATTAGCTGGACCATTGCACTGCCATATGATGTTCCTATTATGGTAAGATATATTTGTGCTGGTCTGGTGATGTGGATAAACAATTTTATTTATTTGCAGCTATTATTCTGCCACTGTTTCTCACTGATTATGTACACGGCATGTGTTTGTGTGTATGTATGTGTGTTTTATCCCAGAACAATCCAGCCTGAGACAAGTGATTTCTTGGTCACATGCACACAAAATGACAGGCTGAAGTGATCATGTCCCTATTTCAGGAAACAGTGACTGGCATTCAACCATAGTCTGGATGGCAGTTGCTCTCTTGAGTATTTGTATTTGCCTGTTCTGAATTAAGCCAGCTGTGGCTATAGTAAATGAAGTATATATACACACTGTCCGTTACAATATAGGGAAAAAACTACTGCCTAAGAAAAATAGGGTCAGGAAAGAACCTGAAAGGAAGAAAGAAGAAAACATGGTTTAGGCCCGGGGTATCTGCAGCCTTCCTCCCACCGTCTGGTGCGCTCACAAAGAGCAGGCCTCAGGGTGCCGTCAGCCAGACAGTGTCGGCTGGCGGCCCCCAGGGGGAGAGCGTTCTCTGTGGGAGCACCGACCCCCTGGAATGGGCTGCCCACCGGCCTCAGGATAGCTCCGGACCTCCTCTCCTTCTGCCGCGAATTGAAGATGTGGCTTTTCCACCAAATGGGCTGAATCCGTAGGGGTGACTTCAAACAATTTTAAATAATTTTTAATTGATTTTAATTTAATTTTTAATTGATTTTAATCTGTTTATGTAATTCTTTGTTTTGTTTTGTAAGCCGCCCTGAGTCCTATGGGAGAAGGGCGGCATATAAATTACATAAATAAAATAAATAAATAAAAATGGGATGGAGGCAAAGAAGAAATTCAAAGATCTCCCTTCTCTCTTACTAATTTTAATTTTATTTCTTTCTTTATGTCTGCCTTTATTATTTTTACAAATACATCAAGGTGGCGAACATATACAACATGCCTTCCTCCTCCCATTTTAATATATGTATAAATGCAGTCCTTGACTTATGATCATAATGGAGTTTGTCCATCATGGTTTTAAGTTGTGATGATCATAAAATTACAAATATGTGAGAACTCAAGTCACAGGAAAGTAGAGTTAATCTTGCTTACTGGAGCAGTAGATATAGCAAAGGATATGAATTTAACAGGTTGCTGGACTTGGGGGTCTTACCAGCCTCTTTAACATTTTAAATCAGTAATTTGTATATAAAAGTCAACTGATCCAAAAGTTGAAATTAATTCTAGGATTTATTTACTTGAACCCCACAGCCTGCTGTAATGGTAATCTCTATGATTACCATAGAAAGGTACTGTAGTTCCATCCTAAAGTAGCTCAGGAGATACTTTCTGTTTTTGTCATCGTTTTAACTTCCTAGATAAGAGATCTTCTTTAGGAAGTTTGCTTCTCATGCATTTAGAATTCAGACTTTAGTCACTTCCCCCATCTCCCTTCCTTTGCCAGACAAGGGATATAATTCCTTGGCAGAGTCTCCCTATCTTTCACATCCATCCAATATTTTAGCTTCTTCCCCAGCTCCATTAGCTATGCATTCTCTATGTTACCCCACATGGGTTTAAAGTAGATGGAAAGGTTCAAAATTGCCCACACTTTCTAGAGAGTTACACTCACAATTAAAGACCAAGACTCTTTTATCTTTCATTAAAACAAATAGCCCATTTTTCCTCTGCAGCAGAGTGCACATAACTGTTTATACGGATGGCTCGTTTTCTGGTATAAGGATAAAGTTAAACCTTAAGACAAATGCATTAGCAAGGAACCACGGAAGTGCAATTTCATAACTGCTTTGTACTGCAAGCAGTTCTAAAGTTGCAAGTGTATTATCTCGGGGGAAAATAGAATATTAAACATAAGAGCTTCTGTCATTGAGGTGTTGTGTTAAGTAGCAAATATCAGATAGGAAATGTGTCCCACTGTATCTACCACAAATTGATCTCCAGAGTGAAAAATAGTTCATGTAAGCAGTGGTAACACTATAAATTAAGGGCGAGAAGCTTAGTGGGATTTGGGACTGATTGTGTTTGTCTGATTCATGGTGAAAAGGGATTTAACTCTAGTTCCATAGGGAAGAGTAGTGACTAATCTGTTTAATCATCTACAGGTTCTTCCTGGAATCAACTTCCTTGTAGAGATGGGACTACAGAACATGATGGCCTTGTTCCCCAACCAAAAAATTTATACTAGTATTGATGTTGCTAGTTTGTGATTGGGGTTTATGAAAAACTCTTTGCCAAAATTTAAGAATGCATTTGCCTTTCTAATATTCCCATAAAACACTAGACTATCATTCGACTTAAATAAATAAATAGTTGCATAGGATTGAAGCTTTAAGTAGTTGGGCTGGGTGTGTCCTGTTTGGCTTCTGCTTTCTATTTCTGCTTCTATTTAGATAGTGCGATAATGGGAGAGGGATATAAATTTAATACATACATACCGTGTTTCCCTGAAAATACGACCTACCCCAAAAATAAGCCCCAACCTGTTTTTACATGACTAATATAAGCCCTACCCCAAAAACAAGCCCTAGTGAAGGGGGTTGGGCATGGCCAGCATAGGCGGTGAGCTTGTGCGGGCCAACAGTGTCTGGCTGCAGTCCACGCAGCACAGGTGAGTTGAGTATCTGTGCAAGCAGCAGGTGGAAGCAGAGGGGGGAAGGCAGGTGATCCGGATGCACTGAATGGGTTGTGGGAAAGCCAAGTGGCGGTGGGCTGGAGGGGCGACCAGACACGGGAGGCCCAAGAGAAAATAAGACCTGGTTTATTTTTGGGGAAACACAGTACATTTTTCTGTAGAGATTGCATCCCCCAACCTTAAATCCCCAACCTTACTGTTAGGCATCATGGGAACTACCATGTTTCCCCGAAAATAAGACCCTGTCTTATATTTTTTTGAACCCTGAAATAAGCGCTTGGCCTTATTGCCATGCGCTCAAAAGCCCGATTGGGCTTATTATCAGGGGATGTCTTATTTTGGGGGAAACAGGATATGTGCCATCTTATCTATAGTATCAGACTGGGGAAGGTAAATGAAATTCTGATATCTGATAATTATAAAGCAATGATGTTGATCTCACATAGATCATCCCTCCTTTGGAGTTGATGACAGCAGATGTTTTGAATCTGAAGGGAGAAATTTTATACAAAAATCCATGCTCTTTGGTATTAGCCTTTCAATACATGAAGGTATGGTTTCTGTTATAGTTACCAGATGGAATAAGGCATAAGGATGTAAGTTGAAGTGTCTAAACAATTACCCTTGTAATTTAAAAGAATAATAGCTACTAAATTATGGCCCATGTACTTCTTTCTGCTTTGTAGACTGACCCTTTGAAGATGATACTGACTTCTTACATGAAAAAGCAATATGTCATTATCCCTCCTCTGAAAAAAAACAAATTTTGCCTAAAGGGAGACAATGGGGTGACACGGGATGGAACCTATAAAACATCAGAAGGAACTAATTTCCAAGCCTTTCATTCACTCTTTTTTGGTGTTTAGAGTTAATAAAA